ATGATATTGATTTGAAACTCTGAAAACTTTGGAGAATGGAGAAGCAAGTTACCGTAATTTTAACTATATGTCACAATGTTTTGAACAATCTATCTTTGACCGAAGATTATTTGGACGGGGACAACGACATCCCCGAAGTTTCCCAGTTGATCGGCACACTGGTTAGCTCGCATAAACCATAGGCTCCTAATCACCTTATCCAACTATTTATTCACCAAAAATGTGGTATTGGCAATGGTATTGAACATCTGGAGAAATCCATATTGGAGAAGTATTTGGAACAAAAGAGTGATCCCCTCAAGGGAACCATAGAACCCTCAATGTACTTGGGTCGGTTCGATTAAGACTGGCCCCTAAACCCCACTGGTATACGTCCTATCGCCAGAGTGCATCAACATCAACAAGTATCCACGGTGAAATAATAAGCTGTACTCCCGCAAGTCATCGTCGAAGAACTGTATCGGTTGATGTCGTATATGAATATGTTCAGTGCTGAAGGGGACAGCAAGCGACCGCCGATATCTACGCGCTTTAAGCGCTTTTAGAGGATTACTGTACCGAAGAAGCTCAGAAGTACTTTATGAAAGCGTTGGATATCATACCCCAGTTAGAGAGAACCGAACTAATTGTGGTTTAAAACAATGTAAAGCGAGGATGAAAAAACTGCAAAGCTGGTTTACAGTTGCTTTATTTCTCAGTCCCCCAGGTCTTTTCTGAAAGCTGTTCAGTAAGACACAACTGCTTACCTAGCTTAATTACGCCTAGTTATAGTCAGACTTCTTAATATTGCTTAGTTGTATTGATGAGACGCTTACCTCTCACAACTAGCCTGGTAAGCCGATCTGGAAATAACAGCTGTGGAGGTTCCTCCTCAATTATATATCAATAATTTTCAAGAATACTCAGCTATTCCCATTCCAGTTTAGATCGAGCCCACTGGTAAGATAACCGATACCGATCATGGTCTTCCTGTTGGGCGAATAATTTTTAATTTTTATTTCTCTTATTTACCTATTTGGAAAAAAACAAAATGTCGATTCGGAACCACAGTGTCGTCAATTTTCACTCATTACAATACATGCAGTCATTTCGATAACACCCTGTACTGTCGTGTAGTCCGCCAGACATATTTGAAATTAATCGTCTTTCGCAGGCTCTTCGTACTTGGCGCAAATGGCCGTTAAATATCCCAAATCGTCGGCGCCTACCAAGATCGATGACTGACCGTACAAAAGAATCGAGTCGCGTAAAGACATTTATCATAATCACGCGACCCAGATTAGGAAATATTCTTTCTACGTATCCGCGAGTGGCTAGTACACCTCGAAATACAATCATTACCGTCCGAGCGATCAGATAAGATCGATGAAAGACCGAGAGAGTTAACCGTTCTTCGATCGTTCCACTTTTTTCTAGTCTAAAATGCAAATTTGGCCCGTGAAAAAAAAGCATCGTCGGCTCTCGGATGTTTTTCCTTCGTGTCACTTTTCGCTCAAGTGGGTCGCGGCAAACTCGATCGAAGAACTATGCGGAATTCATCAGCGACGTGGGAAGAGGCACCTTAAATTTAAACGAATGCAAATCACTTCTGGTATGTGCTTCTTGCCGAAATTATACGGGGGTTTCCGAAACTAGATCCCATGAAACGATGTTCATATTGTAAAATTGGTCAGCTAAAATCTGTTTATTTGCCGAATTGTTCTCCCAAGAATGGGAGAGAACCGACTAGCATTATCTAATATAAATACAAGTAGTCTGTTCATAGATATAAGAAAGTGACTAGCTGATACGAATTAAGGAAAGACCCGGGCAAGCTGCAAGAATGAAATATGGCCGAACAGGTCCGTGCTTTGCTTAGAATTTAATTACTTGAGGTTTTGTTAGGAAAGATACTAAACAATATTTATTTATTTATGTATGTTTAAATATAAATCTGTTTTACACTTATCAGTTGAGTCAACCCAACCCTTTTCCGGGGTATCATAAGTGTTGAACCAGGTTTCATCCAAGTAAATAATTCGTTTTTGTTGTTCTCCTAATTTTTTCTAGACGTTCCAGTCGCGATTTCCGAATTCTAAAAGATTGTTGGTAGTTCTGCCACATTTAACACCGGTTTCATCTTTTTCAAGCTTCCTAATTAAGATATCTAATGTAGGCACGCTTTGTTCCTGGTATAACTGGTAAATTTTACGCCTTATTATATCCTGAGCACTTTCATATACACTTAAGAAAATGTCAGCGTCGCTTGTTTTTTTCCTCACTGAAATGGGATTATTCACAATTTTCCGTACAGTTGATGTTGGAATTTTGGTCAATGTAGCCGTTTCTTCTAACGATGCTTGCTTGCTGGCACCACGTTTAATGAGAGTCAAATAAGCATTATTTATAACTTCCTTAGTCTCAATAGAATAGTGTTTTCTATATTTGGGCGGGAGCATCTCCTGAGATACACTAGACTCGCAGATATTTTGCATAATTCGTACACGATTGATTACTCATAAACTTAAACTAAGTAGTATACCAAACCAAAGAATATTAAACACAGGTAGGTATAAAATTATTTTCTATTACGGACCACAATTTTACATGAATTTAAATTCCGAAACTTTAGGTAATAATCTTGTTGCATCGTATGTTAATGACCACCCTTGGATAATCCCATTCAAAAGCAATTGGCCTCTTTCTTATATCTATGAACAGACCATACCTACGACAATCTAATAGTCGTAGTATTTAATAAATAGTATTTAGATTATATTTAGTATATAGTATTTAGATTATTCTTTTGTACAAAATACACAGGTCTACAAAATTCAACATTTTACAGATATTTTTATTTTGATAACTGATTTTATATAATTTTGATGGGTTGATTTCCAAAAATTCTATCCATTTATTTGTATGACGTAAGGTGCATAGCACTTTAAGGTCACCACAAAGCATCCACTGATGTTCTTGGTACTTTATTTTCTTCAAAAGAAGTCCTATATTTTCATACCTTTCTTTCAAATGTACCGACGGGAATCGAGGCAAGTTCGTTGCTATTGTGCAATAAAACGCCAATTTTTCACAAAAGAAATTATAGTTTGCCTTTGGTTTACTACGACATAACTACCACAGATATAACAAAAGTTATTTGGATTGTTCACGCAATGTCTTTTTGCCATATTTAAACGTTCTAGAATACTAGAAATACGCAAAAATATACAAATAAGCAAGTAGCTTTCCAACATCATAATCACTGTGGACCTGTGTAAATAATATTATCTGGTATTCCCCTATCCGAAAGTTATACATTTCGCAGTTTAACGACACGAAAGTTCAAGTTTTCGGCGATTGCAAATTCTGATACACGTACACTCGTGGAACTGACAATTTATTTCGTACAAAATAACAACTAAACTCACTAACTATTGCTGATCAACACACTAATAATCAATAAAAAGTCTATTATTTCTCAGCTGTTTATTTAAATTTCCAAACTCTATGCTTTCCCTTTACTGACTGACTATGAAGCGGTGCTTCGCTTTTATAGATGGCAGCCCTGTCTCGCAACGGTGCAATCGTATCTGGACGGGCGACCTCTGTAATCATTCTATTGTTCCGACATATTTCTTTCTCCAACAAGGAAGAAAAATATGTCTCAAGAATTTGAAAATAGTAATTTTGAATTAAAATTTCTAACATAATCTGCTGCAAATAATAATATATTATTTAACGAAATTGGGATTACCTATATTTTCTGAAAAAATAACACAATGAACTACAACACCTAAGACCCAAAAATAAAAAGAAGATATAAGGAAATAAAGTACCAACTTTCAAAAAATAATAGACTCAGTACTCTACAAAGCTTGCTTTACACTGTAGTTCTAGCTATAGTTAATCAAATGGATAGAAAAATAACAATTATATTTAAAAAATTGATAAATAGTTTAAGCCGCATTTAAGGTGAAAATGTCAGCCACATGACTATAATTTTCTTACCAAATACCTTTCGAAAGCAAATTATACATATAGTTTGCCGGATATGATAGTCGTCCTAATTACGAAAAAGTTTCAGCACCCTTATGGTAAAGTGCACACAAATATTTTTGCTACCCTATATACAGGGTGTTTATTAATTGAGTGCCAATGCTTAAGGGCGTGCATCTTTGGATGACGCAAAAGGAAAGTTAATATCAATATGTGATGTTAAGCTTAACTCAAACCGAAACAGTTTCAGTTAAACTCTAAAGAAGTCGCCAGATAGTTCGAATTATGCCCGAGGACTCCCGAAAATTTGTAAATAGTATTACAGGGTGACAAGTATTGAAGAAAAAGATACGTCTTTATCATAGTTTACATTCAAAGATAACAGTGGTCACTGGGGAAAATAATATAATTAATTTTATATATATAATATAATTTATTTTTTAAAATTAATTTTTATCCCAGAAACAAATGTTTCCACACATGAGACATGCCTAACAAATTTCAACAAAATGAACTTGAAAACTTGAAGAAGAAAATATAGTTTATATTTTTCTCCCAAAAAGTAAATCTAATGGGCCAAATTTGCAGTAAAAATTGAAAATTTCAAAAATAATTTAAATTTTTCGAAATAGCAGTACCACCTCTATCTTAATAAATAACCGGTTCACGAAATGTTTCTTAATCCAGAGTGATTGAATTATAACAAGAAAGTTAATTAATTTTCCAAAGAAACTTCCACAGGCTACTTTAATACTATTTACAAAACTTCTTGATTCCTCCTGCGTCGGTTATTATTAAGCAGAACTTGCTAACGTTTCGCCAATCATCCTGTTGGTAAAAGTAATTTATGTATGTAAAGGAGAAACCAAAATGAATAAATTTTAATTAAAGAAGGAAGAAAAAACGCCTAATCAGTTTAAGCCTTCCCTTAATATTAACGAAAATCGAATTTGAAACAACATTATTGCTAACAGTACAACTTTTATTGAAGAACATTCAAACGCCACTAATTTTTATAACTACATTAACAAAATTCAATTACTTAATTACGTTGTTTTATTTTACTACAATTAGACAATATTATGTACCGATCAAAATTTACCACGTGGTTTAACCTTCGCCTGTGGCGCCCCCTTTGATTTCATTTGGAGGCCGTTTTGAGTAAACGACTCTCTCCACTCGTATTCCAATCTAACCCAAAGCCCGCCTAAAATAAAATAAAGCCAATCTAATAAATTGCGAGATCGATTTTCAATAAAAACTTGCCGGAAGGGTTGCTGACCCTGCACAAACCCCTGTGACTTCTAATCACGGGTTCGCCCATAGTCTTCCTACTTAACATGAAAGCCATTTCTTTGATCAGGCCCTCCTCGTAGGCTCGCTGAATATCCTGATTACTTCTAGCCGACAAATTATGCTGCCATAGTCTACCGTCTACCCGCCTCCTTACCTTTTTCGTAGTCACCTAAAACGCTAGGTTTTAAATAATTGGAGAATGCGCCGGGAGCTACGTAAAGCGACTTGCTTTCCTCTTCGCTGTGATACTTTCCGTGTCCTCTTCGTCGCTACCCAAAGACGTTGTCGATACGGAGAGAGATGCTGACTCTTCTTCAGTGAATTCCTCGGTGCTATCTTCCGATATCAGCGACTCGCATTCGGCGCTCAAGGCCCTATTAGAAAATGGGGCCAGTAAACCCATTTTAGGTCGTGGCGGAATAATCTCGAAACCGTCCCACCAAAACGACTCTTTGCATACGAATTTCTTGTCGCTGCTATTTGGATCTACGAACAGATTACCCGAAAATACCATCAAAACCTGGTAAGAAATCACTAGAAATTTAATTAAATAAACTAATAGGCCGTACTAATACTAATAATACATAATAATACTTAAATAACGAAAATGTTGGATTGAATCACATGGCCGACATTTATACAACTTTTTTTATTAATGACTAAAAGAAGAAAGGAAAAGGTATTTCCTTCCTAATTGGAATGATCATAGTTAATAAGCGATGCTTCATAAGGTAAATCGGCCAGCTTACAACCCACTTATAACATAAACAAATTTAACACCCAAGGCTCCCGGTGGGAATCGAACCCACAACATTAGCCGGGTATTAAGTGCCAAACTGTAGTTCTTCAAAGTTCCGAGACTTATGTGATAAAGCTTTGTGAATACTGGGCGAGTGATTTTATACAATTTAGTCGTTCGAGGTGGAAGAAGAAGAGACGATACCGTTGAAACATTACCCCCTTGATACTAGTAATGTGGGCCCCGAGAAGTAAGAAGAAGAACAAAAAGAGGTTATGGTAAATGACAAAAAATAAAATATGCATTTTAATATAATTTGAAAAAATGGGCCCGCAACCAGTAGTGACGGGATTGTCACCTAACGAGGGCCCACCAGGCACGCGAATTAAAATTAGAGGCGAAAATTTAGGAAAATCGCCCACAGATTTGATAGGATTAACAATATGTGGGGTGGATTGTCTTTTAACCGCGGAATGGAAGTCGCCCAACAAAATTATAGCGATTTCCGGTCCGATAAAAGGCAAAGGGGATGTAATAGTGACCACTAAATCTGGGGGATTGGGCACTTGCAATGTGAACTTCAGGGGGTACCACATTGCCACCATAGGGCCTATGAAGGAGAGTGCTGTGTGGGTTAGTGTTAAAAAAAATAACCAAACTGCCATAAACTAAATAAATTTTGGGGTATTAGGTTGAAGAGACTCCATTATTCTCATGGGGCCGTCATTCATTGTCACCAAACAGCTATCAACAAGAAGATCCTTTGGGTTTGTCAGTGGAGGAGAATGAGAAAAAAATATCTGAAGATGAGCTATTGTCATATTATCCTAATAAAAATGGAGATATTACCACCACAAATTTCTCTCCTGGTTGGTTTTTGCTAGAAAATCACCAAGCTACAAGCTTCAACGATTTGCAAGCAGGTAAATGCTTCCACCATAATAACCAATCCAATTAAAATAATTGTTTGCTTTAAGGTCTTGTACACTTAAAACGCAAAGTTCAAGGGCAGAAGGAAGGTCAACTTTCTTTTTTGAAAGCTAACATCGGCGCCGTAATGGATCAAATTGACACCCTTGTCACCCTTAAAGATCGTTGTGTATCAGACTTAGCGCAATTCGGCCACGAACCTACACTTAAACTTGAAAAATCAATAAAAGAGTCAGAGAGGGAGGCTAGAAAGCTATTTGATGATGTTCTAAGTCGAAAAGAGAGAGCAGAAAAGACTCGGAATGCTTTAAATGTATTAACCCGTTTTAAATTTCTATTTTGTCTACCCTGCGCTATTGACAGGAACCTTAAAAAGGGGGAATATGATATGATTATAAATGATTATATAAGAGTGAAGAATTTGTTTCAAAAAACGGATGTACCAATTTTTAAAGAAGCTCTAAGTGAAGTGGAAAAACGGATTGGAGAACTGCAAGGAAAATTATACCTTGATTTGACAACAATGCCCATAACCGTTGAGCAACAAAAACGAATAATACGGTATCTGGTTAACCTCGATGCCCCATATGATGCTGCCTGGGATGCTATCAAATCCCATTCAGAGTATATAAATAAAAAATTCAAACTAATCTACAATTATCACAAATCCTTGGACAAACCTGATTCGAAAGTAAAATCTGGATCTGCTTCAAAATATTCCAAATACACCAGTACCCCAAGTACAGAAATTACCATTATACCTCCCTGTGTTAACTTTACGGATGAAATGTGTGTGAGCATTGCCGAAACTTTTCCGGACCTATGGAAAATTGGACAGGCTTACTTCTCTGGGGAATTGCAGGTAAAATCAATTCTTCAAAATTTATCATTCAGCAAAATTTAAGGTAGTAACTTAGCTTAATTTGCCGTTCATTCTCTTTTAAAAACAAAAACCAGGTTTTAGAAAAAAATCGATAAGCCTAAGGCACTTTCATTTTTCATGGGGGCCATTTTGATCAGATGTTTACGTAGCTACTAGTAGGGAAAAATTGATGCGCGTTCGGCGGCTATGATGTTCTCACAGAGAAGAGAATGGTCTTCCATGCATGCCTCTAAATTGCACACGGTATTCTGCAGTTTGCGCACTTTTCTATTTAAACAGCGTACTCCACACTCTTAACTCATTTGCCCAGAACATTTAACAAGATCTGGGTATATTTTGAGAAAATATTGCTTCATCTAAGCTGAAACCTGTTGAATTGATGAACTGTAAGCGGCCATGTTGGTTGTTAAACGGCAACTTCAAATGACCTTTCATGCGCATATATTTTGTTCAAGATCTGGGCATATTTTTAGAAAATCTAAGCTGGAACCTCTTGAATTGACAAACTGTCAGCTGCCATGTTGATTGTTAAACGCCGATTTCACATGCGCATATTTTGGTTCATCATCGCTTCAAAAGATCCTGTATTATCAATATAAGACCCTGTCTCTGCCCTCTAACCAAACACTATATATAAGATAAACTCGGCCACTCATTCAGAAAACCGTCAATATTTTGTTCCGGGAATTCTAAGTGGAAACTAATATTAAGAATGGGAGTAACTAGGGTGGGGAGCACTTGAAGGATTGTTGATTGGCCAACGTACCGCAGATAAATAATGGTTGGGAAAATTAGAACTCACTTTTTGCACACCTGATTCGGAATAATAATCACAGCAAAACACAAACAACTATTACTATAACACGACGAAATTCTAACGTGCGCTATCATATACTTAATGCCGTAGCCTCGTTCCCCGATAAAGTCGTTAAATTCTTAGGCAGAAGAGCTCTCAAGATTAGCTTTAATTTTGCACTTCTGAAGCAGCCGTTCATTATAAAAGGAATATATCCAAAATAAGAAAAGGCATTGTTTAATTTTAAAGTAAAGTAAAATTTCAAAAAATAAGACTTGCAATCCTGTTGAATGTAAAAAAAAAGCGTCGGCTAGGTTATAGACAAAACATTTTTTTAGGTTAAAGTAGAACCTGGCAGGCAAGTGGAATACAAGCACACGGTAATGTTGGTAATAGAGACCTTCTGCAAATACATACGTGCAAACCTATTACCCCATACTCTTGATAAATCCGAAAGATCACAATATGGAACTCTCAATATACCAGAGAAAGATGAAATTTCTATTTATCTGCCTGAACTGCTATACTCTGTAAGATCAACTTACTCGGCCTTCATCAAGTTGGACCTCCCAAATGAAGCTCTGAATATAATCAGCGTTTTGCTGCTCGATTTAAGGATTCATTGTATGAGTATCATGTTCCAGCAGACAATAGAGCATGTAAAGCAACTCACCGAGGATTGGAGCATCAATTACAGCGGGAAGTACACGGGAGTTACGGAGCTGCCACTGAAATTTCTTCAGCATATTGAAGGTGGACTTGCGTAAAAACTTAACATGCACTTATAACTTCATTATTTTTAGGAATGGTCCAAGTCATCAAAGAATCTGTCTTGTCCACTGAACAAAGAGAAATATCCCTACTGGAGAACCCAGTAGCCCAAAAGGAAATGGAGAAGCAAGTTACCATAATTTTAACAACATTTCACAATGTTTTGAACAATCTATCTTTGACCGAAGATTATTTGGACGGGGACAACGACATCCCTGCAGTTTCTCAGTTGATCGGCACGCCGGTCAGCTCGCATAAATCGGAAAGCAAAAGTAACGTGCCCATATGGGACCATAGACTTCTAATCACCTTATCCAACTGTTTATTCACTAAAAATGTGGTATTGACGATGGTCAGGGATAAATTCAAGGAAGGAGGTTTTCCGGCTTTCGCTGGACCATTTCTCGATGCTCGCAACAAGCTGGAGCATCTGGAGAAATCCATATTGGAGAAGTATTTGGAACAAAAGAGTGATCCCCTCGTGGGAACCATAGAACCCTCAATGTACTTGGGTCGGTTCGATTGGGACTGGCCCATTAGCCCCACAGACATACGTCCTTACGCCAAAGAGTGCATCAACAATTTGATAAGTGTCCACGGGGAAATAATAAGCATTTCTCCATTGCTCTTGGATGCTGTACTGCCACAGGTCATCGAGACAGTCGCCGAAGAACTGTACAGGTTGATGTCGTGTGTGAAAAAGTTCAGTCCTCAAGGGGGACAGCAAGCGACAGCCGATATCTACGCGCTTCAAGCCTTTTTACAGGATTACTGTACCGAAGAAGCTCAGAATTACTTTAAGGAAGCGTTGGATATCATACCCAAGTTAGAGAGAACTGAACTAATTGTGGTTGAGGATATTTTGAAACAATGCAAAGCGAGGATGAAAATGCAGCTTTCAGCTTTGAAAAAGTAATTTAAAGATCCACATAAAATTCTATATATGTTCATTAATTTATAAAAACACGTTATAACACTGTTTTGCAATTTTAAAGACTAAGCAACCAGGATTTATTCCGGATGGCCAATTAAGCCAGGTATAAACGATGTCACGCTAATCGTAAATAAAAAAAATCGATTTTTCAGACATTTTTCCCCATGTCTTTAGATAAGGTGGTCGAGGAAATACAAATATTTAACTTAACGTCAGCCTAACCTCTAAAGTGTATAAATTAAATAAAAATCCCTGAAAAACTGCCCACCACAATTCTTAATGCTTAATCCTAAACTTATTTAAACAGGTTTACCCAATTGCTTAAACCCGAATAGAACAAAAGAGCAATTTCTAATTTGATGCAACTCGATTACTTTTTTTTACCTTACTTTTTGAGGAAATTGTTTGTTCAATAGTTCAATTTTGAGAAATTACAAATTAAGGAATTGTATAACCAATATCACTTATGTCAAATTATTGTTAAAAAAAATGTTCAAAGCAAACTGCAAAACTGTTTGGCTGCTTGATATAAATCAGTTTCCCCGTTTCAGTTTTTCGCTAAAATCTCAAGTGATAAGAAAGAGAGCACTTTTGCACTAGTTGCTTTATTTCTCAGTTCTTTCACTGTTCAGTAAGATACAGCTGCTTACCTTGCTTAATTAGTCGCCCAGTTATAGTTGGACTTTTTAATATTCCTTAGTTTAAAGATGCTTACCTCTCGCAACTAGTCTGGTAAGCCGATCCGGAAATAAAAGCTGTGGAGGTTCCTCCTCAATCAGATGTCGGTAAGTTTCAAGCATACTCAGCACAGCTGCATGTCTGACATCCTGAGTGGCGACCGTGTGCTGTCTAAACTGACAGCCAGAGTAACTTTCCAACAACTGGAACCTAAAACTTCTTCCAATTTAACAACCACGACACACTTGCTGACATGCTAAACCTGTAGGCTCTCTCGCCGCAGCACGGATAGCGTCCGATCGGCAAAGGCGCTTTCTGGGCATCCAGTGTGAAAAACTGGGGGTTATCGGTATGATACCGACACCAACCGATTTGATTAACAGGGAAATAGCGCTTGCAAGCATTGCAAAATAGGAAGTGACCTTCTCCCCATAGTCGCCAGTACACCTTCCTCCAGGTTTTTAATAATTTCTGAAGTTTAACAATGTAGTCGTTCAATTGCCACGAGGAATCTCTTACGTGCAAACTTATAACGGACCCGTCTGGCTGCAGCCTCATGCAAGACGGTACGCAAGGGATTTTGGGTGCCACTTCTGGATTTATAATTAGTTGACATTTTTCGCATTTGAAAATCCGAGCTATGGACCACCAGTGCCCTCTTACGCTCGCCGGATCCGGTTCAGCTAGGGATTGTATCAGTTTTGAAAACAATCGCGACTGGATCTTGTCTTTTCGGTCCTTGATCATTTCGATTTCGGTGTTTGTGTACATATCGGCCAATCTCGTGAGTACCGAGTCATTGAGGCATGACAGATTCGTAGAAGTGCGAAGGATTTCGTTCATGTGCTCGTGGCAAAACAGCAGGCAGTCGTGCAACAAGGGCTCCATTTGCAGGAACGATGCCGAAACTAGGATCGGAATTACGCACTGAGCGTCCAGTTTGGGGAACGCTTCATCGGGTAGTGAGTCTTTTTTTACCCACTGCATCAGCCATTCAAAAATGCCGATGTCGCAGTGCACGGATATGTCCATATCTTCGAGGTTTTGCCCTTTAAAAAAGTTGTCATTTCTGGAATCCTTTTTGATGATTTTAAATGCAAATAAGCAAGGAAAAATATAAATGCATATAAGACAAGATAAATAAGAGATTCGTGGGCACGTTTAAAAAACGTGCTTATCAGATTTTCAGTTGATCCGTCATTTCAAATATATTATTTACAAAAACACAACATCAGTATTTATTTGAAGTATTATTTTATTTAATAAGAATTAGACTTGAGTGGTGTTTTGTCGCGACACATTCAAATTTCTTTTTGATTTTTTGTTAATTTTTTTTTAATTAATCAAATTGTCAAATAATTTATGACATTTGGATGGGAGACCTATTTTTGACATTTCTTGGCTACAAAACTTTGAAGGTGTTTAGTGCAATTTTGAGTGACTGGTTTAGTGGTTACAATCGTCCTAACTTCAGTTTTCACATTTATGAAATCCGACATGAGTTAAAAACAATGGCGGTAAACTAGGTGAGCATAGTTTGCCAAATTCCAACCAACAGCATTGATAAAAATCTTGTCTGATACTGTATCCCTTCGTCTCAAATAACACCATTAACTAATCTCCTAGCTTAGCGTCCTTGAGATGGACACGGTAATATATCTAAAAGGTTGTGTACAACTGCTTTATCCCCTCCAAATCTAAAGCAATCTACAGTTTGACATTTTGGAAAATTTTTGGTTTTATAATTACTAGCGACTGAGTTTCACCTAATGTAACTTCCGCAAAATAGCCCATCTTTTCGACCAAAAGTTGCTGATTGCATATAAAAGTTTTCTTCGTGTTTTTTACTTCGTCACACACGTGAATTTCAACTTCCGACCTAAAAAACAATTAGCGAGAAAATGTTTTCGGCCAAGACGAAAACTTACTCGGTTTTGACTTGCAGTTTTTGACAAACTTCGGTAGATTTCCTGCGACTTACTTTATCATTTGGAACGGGCAGTGCAGAGTTTGATGGTTTTTCTAGAATACATTAAACAATAATCTCATTTATTCAGTATGATTGTCCACACACCTGTAGCTTTTGTCGCGTTATTAAAAGAATTTTTCTTTAAGGGAGCTGCATTTTGGATTAGATATGGCAACACTGAATCCAGTAGACCTTCAGAGAGAACCTCCTGAAGTTTCTTTTTCAAAATATCAGAGTTATTCATTATTAAACTCGTTTTACGACAAATACCTAAAAGTTCTAGTGACTATAAAAAAGGACTGCATTAGACTAGTCAGATATTTGCACCATTGATGTCCTCGGGAGAGGGTTTTGGAAGCAATGTGTCCGATGTTTGACAGCACTGGCTTTTATTTTTTTTGCCAAGTTCGTTTTCTTTTGACCTTAACCAATTTACAGCTTCACCCATGCCTCCAGCTACGAGAGCACCTTCAACTGAGTCCTGGACCTTGAAAAACAAGGTCAATTGGGTACATTTTTAAAATAATTAATACCTGATAGGCCATTTTAAGGAAATTCAAAAATTCGCTTATAGTAATTTGTGAATATTCTGGGTCTTTTGATTTATTTAAAGCCTTGACTGGAACAACTTCATTGTTGCTATTTGAACAAGCACCAATTTTGTGGTCCATTTTTTAGAAACACATAAAATTTTTGTTTTCTTAAAGGCGATTATTGATCAAACAACGGGAAAAGTCAATTAAACATCATGTAAACATTTGTACCACTTGTTTTATTATAGCGGATTGTCAATGTCATATAAAACAATGGGGTAGAAACGAACTTAATAAGCCCAGATAAATTTGAATCATATGTTATTTAAGCCGTTTAAGAGATAATAGTTCTTAGTATAAACTTCTTTATCTTCAACTATCTTGACTTACTAAAGAATCAAACCGTTATGGTTTTATTCAGTTTTAACCAGAAAGCTAATTAATTAAATCGTCTCATATTTTCTTGTTGATGCGTTGTACGTTTGAATAAACCTCTATTGAAATGGTTTCGTTACGCTTTCGTGAGTGAATTATATACGTGTTTCAGTATTTAACATGAAGTATTCATCGATGGTATCTATAATACTCAATTTTGAAAGAAATTAGGACATCTGTTGTTTAACAATACAAATATCAACGGTATTAATCAAATTGAGTAGTGCTATTACTGTAAGTTTAAACTCTAGTTTGACTTGTTAGATTTGAATTAAAAAAAATGATTTCTAATTTTAAATTAAGTTTATTTTTTTAAAAATAGGATAGGCAACTAAACATTCTTGTAAACACTATATGTCTTAGATATAGGCAACCCGTAATACACAATTTTCTCGACAGCCCAGTGAGTCATAAACCCCATGGCTACGGCAAGGGGGTCTCCCGACGACGATGGATACAAAAGGTTCACAGACGACATTAACAATGTTTCCTATGGCTCCAACAGCACCAGTAAGTGTTCTGATTTGATTATAACGTGCTACAAAACTCTTATCGCAACCGTAAATTATCACCGATAACATTGTGTGATTTCTTCTGATGCACTGTGGCTTTGGAGATAAGGGACGTTGCTTAATCGCTATGTAAATAAAATACGAAAAAAATGTAGATTTTTCTTCGCTAGTAGTTAATCTTTCTGATTGTTCTTATTTGGCGCTATGTTCTTATGTATGAATCATTTTATTCTACGCTTGATATGCTGATTTAAATATATTGAGCCATGCTTAATGGCTTATTTTATATTTCAGACCCCGTTGACGAGATGGGGAGCCGCTCTAGTCTCAGCCGAGACTTGGACAGCGCTGAAATTGATCACTGGGAGATGAATTATCATGAAGCAGCCATCTTTCTTGAGGTAAATTCTCGCTAGGTGCGATCCACTATGTTGTGATTTTTAACATAATTCAGGAGGGCGAGAACAATGAAAAGTTCGACTCTCACCCGAGACATCCCTCGGCTTTGCCTGCCTACCTCTTGGTTCACAACCAATGGTACTATGGCCTTGACTTGGCCTTTTCCGTTATTTTGTTATCTCTGGCTCTAGTAGAAGAACCGGCAGTTGATCAGTTTGAACTGCCTTTATTCATTCATGGCACTTTAGAACTAGTGTGTCTGGCCGTAATTGGGGTTGAGTTGGCACTTAAATTGAAGTGGATCGGGTGGTCTACTATACTCAGGCATAAACGGACCATGGTGAAGGTAGGTTTTGGGTTTAATAATGCTTTTTGGGTCTGGATTTACAAATTTCAGTGTGTAACGCTTTTTATAATGGTTGTGGAAGCTATAGTGGTGCTGATTAGACAGGAGTCCCATTTTCGGGTGACCAGAGCTCTAAGGCCAATATTTCTAGTGGATACAAGAGCCTGTGGGGGTGTGAGGCGCTATATCAGACAAATTTTGCAGTCATTGCCTCCAATTTTAGACATGTTAATACTTTTGTTATTTTTCGTCTGTAGCTATTCCCTCTTAGGGTACTTTCTCTTCAGTCAGCATGAGAAAAATTTGTATTTTAAAACGTTGGGAGACAGCTTTGTCAGTATGTTTGTCTTATTGACTACCGCAAAGTAAGTACTAACAAAAAAAATGGAATAAATGTTATGAAATTTGTATTTAGTGTTTACTATGTTTTTCTGATAATCTAAACTAGGTATTCTGTAGTTTTCCAGATGTAATGATGCCCTCCTATGCAGAATCCAAATGGAGCGCCCTATTTTTTATATCCTATATCTCTACTGTGCTCTATGTCCTCATGAACTTGGTTAGAATAAATTCAATAAAATATTTTGACTCTAATGGTTTCGGATTGTAGATGTTGGCTGTTGTGTATGAAACATTTACTGGTATTGAGAAAGACAAATTTAGGAAATTACTATTGCACAAACGACAAGCTTGCAAGCTTGCTTTCCGCCTGCTAGTGAGCAAGCAGAATCCATACACAATCAGATTTAAACAGTTTCACGGTTTGATGAGATATTATTCACCCAAGACAAGTAAGTCGGTTGTCATTAATCATTAAAGCGTTGCGTAGGCTCATTTTGTTTACTTGTCAAAGGTCAGCGAGATATAGTCCTCATTTTCCGGCAATTAAATGTTTCTAATACTGGATTGATAACGCAAGATGAGTTTTTGAATATATACGATGCTATGACACTTCATTGGAGATTGAAGGATCCTCCAGATCCATGGTTTTCAGCAGCATGGCCACCACTTAGGACTTTGTGTCGAACAGCGAGGACCATTGTGTCTTGGGATTACTTTGAGTATATAGTTTGTGAGTAATTTTTTTGTTGCAAATAAATTCTCAAATCATCAAATCCAATGAAGTAATAAAGCAGAAACCGGCAGCAATCAAACTTATGTATGCTGAGCCACTTGCTTTTAGTTGTTTTTGGATATTAAATTGGTTCCAGTTTGCTTTCGAATTTCTTATCTGTAAAAACTGAGGTTAGGATGAAAAATTTATTCCACACTAAACCAAGCAACACCTTTGTCGCATTTTCAGATTAAAGTACATCTTTCAAATGTGGCTTTTAAATGTTAAATATCCCAATATATACACAATTTTTCCATTTCATAATAAAATTAAACACACCGTTGTTAGGTTGACTTGTGTTGAATCATAATTTTAGTTCTAAGTTTAGGACTTTAATAGAAAGGTAAAAATTCATTTCTCTGCTCTAAAGGTTATATTTATTATAATTTTAAATTTGGAAATGCTAGATCTGTTTGGCTGTTTTGGTTGTAATGTTATCTATTAAAACTTTCGAAAATAGTAGACTTGTAATTATAATTTGCAACTGTTTCAGATGTTTTGATCATTACAAATGGTCTGGCAATGTTTGTAAGGGTAATAGAATCTTCAGTTACTTTGGAGGAGGATGCGAAAAATTTCTGTGCGTCCTGGGATGCCTGGCTGTTTTATACCTGTTAGTAGATAATATGTTCATCCCTTTCGTTTTCTATTTTTTACTTATTCTAGTGTTCTTGTTAGAAGCATTATTAAGAATTATAAGTTTTGGCTGGTCGGAATATATTTCATCTGGCTGGAACACTTTCGATTTGAGCGTTACATTATTGGCGATTTGGGGTTCTTTGATTCTACTGATATCTCCTTCATTTACCATTGTGGTTATTCTAAGACCATTAAGGTAAGGTGATTTTTGCGGCTTTCGGCAAACTTTGAGCATTACTTTTATAGAATTTTGCGTTTATTTAAACTGAAAAAGCGATACAGAGATATATTTGGTACGTTAGTACTCCTTTCCCCTTTGATGTGGTCAACCGCAGTCGTGATGATGGTTATGTACTATTTTTTCGCCATTGTTGGTATGGAACTATTTGCAGGGTATCCTTTGAGAGACTGCTGCCCGTAAGCCAACCGCTAGTGTTATACTCTTGGGAAACAAATCTTTTGCTTTTTTTTGTTTTAGCAACACCACCGTAGAAGAATTCTACAAGTATAACTCAAACGGCAGCGCGTCTGGGATCGGATTTTATTATTTAAACAACTTTGACAATCTTTTTATATCAGGCGTGACACTTTTTGAGTTGACTGTCGTTAACAATTGGTTTATTATCATGGACGCTTACGCGAAAGTATCTACTCCCTACTGTCGCCTGTTTTTCATGATATTCTACCTTTTTACAATGGTTGTGTTGACAATTGTAGTAGCCTCGGTTTTGGAAGCCTTTCGGTTTAGGATACAGTACAAGAAACAAACATCTAAGAGAGACGGTAAGCACAGTTCTTACTTACCCTCTCGTTTTCATTTTGGGAATTATTGTTCAATATTGCATATCTTATTGGTCAATTGTAACACAAATGGGTTACAAATGAACAATTCCATTGTAAGTTATAGGTACTGAATATGAGTTATTTGAATGCGATAAGCACTTACACTTCTACTGTAATAAGTTGTCAATTTCAGAGGAAATTATGCTGCATGAAGACGTCATAGTAGATTGGACTTCTCTAGAAAGGCAAGTTGGAGACAGAAAGTTGCTAGAAACTCTCCAAGTAGATTTCCAACTGGGAGTAAGCGACTTTATTTCTACATTAAACACTTACACTAACATTGTTATATATTTTCAGGGTATCACTGCGTATATGGGCCGTAGACGACGAACGAGAGATGTGTTGCAACATCACATGTATAGTACAGAGATAAACCAGTGGTTATCTGAAGCCGAATATGAAGAACGCAATACTATAAATAATATAATTGAGGAAGCGCACATCAACGCTCGCTTAATTAGTGCTTAACGTGATATTCCCAACTAAATTTTAAAAGCGATCATATAATTTGAACCTCAATGTTGGAGAAGACTAAAATCAGAAGAAAATGTGAGGTGAACATTATCAGTTTTTGTCTATGGGATTGCGACATACAAAACAAAAATAATCGATTTATTTTTAGGAGTAACACTATGAATGTGAAAATTAATGTGCACATTAGACTATCTAAAACGAGGAACAAAATGTAGTGAAAATCAAATTGTAGTAGGACCAAGATTAGATTAGAGTTGTTCATGTTAGATATATGTAAAGCCTGCCTTAATTATTGAAAGTAACTGAGCCAGTGATTAATTTGCCAGTAATCGTGAGTTGTGGCCTAAACATGAGAGTAACACTTCAAAAAAGAATGCAATCATTAAGTTAACTTAAGTCTGCGGTCTTAAATCCTTATTTTACCCTTTTTAACCTAATTAATTTAATTTAGGCTGTAACAAAAAATGCTGATTGCTTAGTTGTTGCTATTCCACCGTATATGTTACCAGAACCAAATATTTTCGTCTTCCTTTGGCTACAACTGTAAAGAGCACTAGCCTGTCAGATCCTCCCAGTATTAATATTTAATTTATTTATTTTGTAATATATAATCTATATTTTGTTAATATACATGTTTCTTTAAAATGTTTTTTGTTTTCTTTTCACTTGTGCTTAACTTTATGGATCAGTTTGAAAACAAAAACAAACTTTTTTTACACTTTATTACAAACATCTTTCACATTCTGTCTGCGATTGTGTTACGCGCCCTTAAACAATTTGCACATAAACCAACAATAGTAAAAATTTGTGATGTAAATGAAGGCATGCAGATCCAACTAACGTGTATGAATTTTCGTATAATCGCGGAATGTCTCGAGCTTAAACTTAGTGTATTGTTTTCAAAAAATACGTATTTCAATAAAGTACACAAAATAAATAAGCGAAATTACTTTAAATCTTTGGAGTCTCCAGGTTCCATTTCGGTACCTCTAACATACCTCTTATTCTAATAAATGGTACTAAAATATATATACAGGGTGAGGATGTATTGGAACAATTAACAAGCCCATACTATGACTTTTTTATTATAGTACAGTTTCGTTCCTATCTTCAAGGGCATGGAAACTTTTATTCTGTATTAATTGGTTGCAATTCTTCCGAACCACCCTATATATAAAAACAAAGCAAATTTCCTTAGATTTATAGATTTTCTTTAGAAATTATACAGAAATAAAGCTACAAATACACGGTATAAAAATATTTCTCGCGACTTAGTAGCACGAGATATTACTTCATAAACAAAATTGATTAACTCCTTTTATAAATGGTGAGAACAATAGTAAAGAAAATAACTATTCTCTAGAAAACAAGCTAAAACTTGAATTGCACTTCACGGAACAACTCAATAAGGGCTGAGTGATTTGTATTTAGCTTGGAAGGTTTCGATTTCCTTGGCTTACTCAATAATTCAGAATTTATATTTTCTGAGGTTCATTTTTGACCTTAAGAAACAAACTGAACTACAACGAATTTAGTTCTGTATGTTAATTATGTAGTGCAAATCAAGATAAATAAGAACTAGGATTACAACAAATCTTACATAAAACATTAGTAGCACGGTAAGGATGAGATGATGTTGTGTGCGATTTTTTAAGTAAAAAAGGTTAGAGTTTGGAGTTATCAAACAAAAATCTAAAGGCCGATTTGAAAACAGTATTTACCTCTAAAAAACATCAACTTATCGTTCCATTACAAAATTTATGAAAAGAAAATCAGCAACAGAGTTGCGACGAAATGATGAAATGCTTCCATCTTAAAATTATTCATTGCTAACGACATCGTAAACGAGCTGATTGAACTCACAAAATTTTTGTAAAATTTCTCACTGAGACTTTGAGTCTTCGCTGTAATCGTCGCTCGAGCGAATGTCGCCTTCCATCTGTCCGGCGTTTAACGAGTTGTAAGCTAGTTTCAGGATGAGGTATGTCCAGAACATATGCAACACCAACAACAAACACAGCAACCCGTTAAAAATGTAATAAGCGGGAAACATCGGAACTATTTTCGGGGCGTCTATTGAAGTACTAAAAATAATCCTCACAATAGGTTAGGATTTTAACTTCGGATAGAGAACTTACTTTTTTATGATCCAGAATGGATAGAAACCTAGTCTTGTTACTATCCACAGTACTATGAAGATGGCGAATATTGTGTCGCAGAGCTTTTGATAGCCGGAATATTTGGTCATTTTGGCCGCCTACAAGCAGCCGCGTGAACACAACCTCCTGTACATGGATTCGAACTTACTTCTAGGAATATGTCAGCGCAATCGTGCACCACAAGCACCAAACTGCCTATCCTAAACACATTGACTACCCACGAGAGGCACATCAGCAGTATAGTAGCTATATGGTGGATGAACATTTGCCAGAAGTCTTTCCGTCTTACATCGAAGAACTGCGACACACACAATGACCAATAGAACGACATCGAAATCATGTAGTACCACCAGATATCGCTCGTAACTGATTGGTGTGGGAACCCATTCCTTAAAAAAATTTCATATACGGCACAAATTCTAACAGTATACAATTATAAAAATTACAGCCTTTTTTCTCTCTCTTTTAAGTGTTCTATATTAAGGAGAATTAAAGATTATCAGCAAGTAAAACCAAAACATTTTTTGAAGTTTCCACATTTTTTCTGACTTACAGGTAACATTTTCCGCACAATTCGATAAGAAAAATGTATAATAATAACATAAAATAGTTAATTGTGTGTATATTTTTTTCATAAATTATGTCTCCAGCTGCAATCATGCAGAATAGAAATACTTGATGAAAATCCATTTCACACAATTAAATTAGAACAAAAAAAGTTCAGATTTTCAATTGTTATGTTATAGGTATATAGCTGTGAAAATCTTAACATTGTTTGTTCTAATTTGCTTGTATTATGTCTCTATTAAAAATAGTTAAAAATAAAATAACAAATTTAACCAATATGTTTGATTGCCCTCAGAAATAATAACGGTGGAAGAAACTAAACAAAAACACAACTTAATTCTTAAGGCTTACGAAAATAAAATTTTTACATATTTCTGTTACTATTAATGCCAAAATGGAAAAACACCTGCCGCTTAACTCTACAAGCAGACAATTATATGACTTTTCAGGTTGTTCCATAACCAAAATATTATTTTTATTTCTTTGGATAGCCCACTGCAAAGGGTATTAGATATATAGTTGCTAAAATTACTAAAACGCTTTTGTCAGGGAAAGCAAAGTAATTGCTTTTGAAATTTGTATTTTTTCTTCTGGAATTTTCAAACTTAGCACCCCAATTTAGTAATAATTATAAATTATTTACCATAAAATGATCTGTTTTTTCATTCCCACCCTATTAGATCAAAGTTACAAATTAATTTTAAATAAATTGTAAAATGTTTCTACAGCAAAATGCTTGGCGGCAAACGCGGTATAGGCATAAAAATAGGTAACGATAAAAAACCACCACATATTTAACGAGCCTCTCATTACCAAAAACATTGAAAACGTCACAAACTATAAAAACCAATAATTATGTACATTAACTTTTCTACCTATCCGCATTTACTTAAATTTTAAGTCAAACAGTAGGATAGTATGTATGAGAGAATGCGTGTGTGCGCGCAAACATAATGACGCGTCTTATTAGACGTCCTTATCTTAAAAACAAATATCTGATTAATTAGACATCCAAAACTTTTATAAAATTACAACTTGATAAAGCCTTATCTCTTTCAAGGGAATTTATTCCGCCAGAGCGCGTTGCAACATTGTGAAAGATGTTTGAAAAGCTGAAACGGGCTAAATCGTTTATCCATAGAAGCAGACATGAAGAAGAACGCGAACTAGACTTGTCTGAATATTCCCATTTGAGAAGAAACGTCGCCATCAGCAGTGAACTTTTGGAGCAACAAAAACTCTTCACTATTTCCAAAGAACATACGAATGAAACAAAGAAAAGATACAGCAGCGGCCAAATTGATAAATCTCAGAAGCAGCTAAATGACAAAGTCTTAAAGGAATTCCATCCCAAGGTCAGTTTAGGCAATGGAGATGGGAGAAGTAATAGTCCTTTTGACAGAAGAAATCAGGCATATTTATCAGAACGAACACATCTATCCAGACATTATCTAAAGAAAAAGGATCAGGACTTACCAAACAAAACAACATCCCAACCACAACCCTATTCAAGTCCACAACAACTCAAACTAACCAATTCCAATATCTTCAGGTCAAAGTTTGATAGGCAGAGTCCTGCATATATGTCAGAAAGGACAAGCAGACAGAACCAGCCAATGAGACGACAGATGCAACTGAATGTGGATAGAAGCAGAAGGTCCAATTCCTCGGAGACTAATTCCCCCAGGTTAAGCGATAGGCAATATCAACCGCCAAAGAGACTGATCCAACTCAATGTAGAAAGGAACAGAACCCCCTCCATATTTAGTGGCATGCAACGAATAGAAGCAAATTTTGACAGGCATAAGAGGAACATTACTCCAGACACCAATATCCATTAATTCCTTAATCCAACTGGATTTCTCTGCTATGCCTCGTTTTATATTTTATTTGTAATTTTGTATAACTTTTTAAATCTACATTAAATTGTATATATTGTTTATAATATTAATAACAATTTTAAACAATTGGAAAATACAATACAAGATAACATTGTTACATTAATCAACTTACCAACATTCATTAATATCCCAAAGCCAGGGTTTATCCCATAAAATAAGCAGGCCATACAAAAAGCTACATATATAATAAAGACACCGCCACGAATTTTCACAGAACTTTGTTAAAGTAGAAGGCTTGTTCTGGCCTTTCCTCAGTCGCAGCCACCTTTCAACTTGCCTTTCTGTCATATCTAACTGCTTTGCTAAACCCTGGATCTAAAACACAAATTATGACATGATTTTCTTAGTTGCAGCACAACTTTTTCAAACAAACCTGTTTGTGTTTCCATTTTTTTGATTGGGCATAGGCCTTTTCCAAAACTTCATTATAGGGCGCATTCTTAGGTTTACTACTTTTTATTCCTAACGAAATACCAACAGGTGCAAACCAATACCTAAAACAAATATATACCCCAATAAAGTCAAACGAAGATGGTCTGCAAAACTACCCAATGTCTGAATCAGAAGTACCAAACTGGACATGTGATTCTAACCTTACTTACTTTTCAAAGCAGTATCTCAAAACTAGCATTACTAAAGCCATCGGCAAAGGATACAAAAGATGTCGGTAGTCGGCATGAGCGACATTGGGGTCGGCATCTGGAGCTATATCAAGCCAGGTGGTGTTGGGAGGCAGCCAAACGTAGGGGCTCCAAAAGGTGTCAAGCAATCCGCGGTAGTAACTCGCCATTTTCTGCACACTTTTCAAATCGTCTTTGCCGATAAATGTCGGTCTATGTCGGCATGCTTTTTAAAAAAACAACTTTAAGTAACAAGCGTTTCAGGTGCAAAAAAACTTGCGACAACACCCTACCCAGTCATCTTGACATTTAAAGAACCGCGGTAGGTTAAGTAGGGCGTAATTCTGCGGTTGGTAAACATGCAATTTGTTGTGCTATCATAAAAATTTCAATTTTAAAATTAGAATTCGTTTAAAAAGTCAGGTATGGAACACACCACGTTTGGAGGCGAATAAGATAAAATCACCTGACACATTTTTTCTTTAGATAATGAGCGAAATCAGGATCCGGTACGCTCAAAAACAAAAATTTACCCACTCTTATAAAGTACTATCTTAAAAGATAACTTGTTCCGCTAATCCACACCGAAAGTGTCTCATTTTACATATAGCCTCGGTGGCTGTCATGTGCTTAGGGCACAAGTATATGCTTGTGTTTTAGGTGTCCTGGTGTTGGTAGTCCTGAAAATATACTTATTTCTTCGTGGGCAATTTCAAATTACGTCTGTCATGAGATACGAAACGCATACTTGCTCTAGATAAGAGATTTTTATCAGAACGAGTTTCCATCAATATTTTTAAACATTAATTTTATGGGCCTGCGGTGTGATAATGCCATTAAATAAGAAGACGGTCAGTTTTCACGCGACTGATGGGGGCGGAAGCGTGTATACTGTCGAATCCCGAGTGATGAGAGCCAGACAAAAGTTCGAAAATATGTCTGTGTCGGCAAACACACCAAAAAAGAAGGCAGAAAGTTTTGTAAGACCATCAACAGACAAATTTTTAACAAGAAACAAGTCCTTTTCGGTTGAAATAATCACGGAACTAAAAAAAAACAAAAAGTTCAATGAAAGGCGGGATAATCTGGAGAATAGGCTATCCAAATCGTTTAACAATGTCGAAAGCTACCCTGCGACCTCTAATGTTGCAGAAAAAGTATCCAAGTTCGAAACCAGCAAGGAAACAGCGCCTGATAACAGGAAATCTCTTTCTTTGGATTGCCTTACTCCAAATACCATCAAATCTGTTGAGGTAAGCGTTTTATTGCTTTCTATATTATACTTGCAGATAGTTCAAATATTTTGCATGTCCGGTTTCATTAAGATCGGTTATTTAATGTTAAGTGAGCACTTCCGCATAAAACTTTACTGATTACAGTCGTCGGATTAGTGCGCCTTTACAAATTTAATAATCTAAAGCTATGCAACCAAATATACGGTCCTGTTTGAAATTTTAAATTTTCTCAGTGTGTGTTACGAGCTGGTTTATTACAAAAATGCTATAAGGATTTTCAATTCCCAACGCTAATGGTTTACTGTGTACCTAATACATGTAAAACAAATTTAATAATTATGCCATTTCCAGCTCTTGAAATTTTAATAACTACCTGTTGTACTATTAAGTATAAATTTTAAAATATTTTCAGTCTGTCATGATCGTCGAGCTTGTTAGTTATTTATTAACATTATAATTAAATAATAATTGTATATTTGCAGTGGGTAAGGATTGTAAAGTTTTTAATTATAAAAACGCTTGGTTATTTAAAATACCCTTAGCTTGTCGAAAACCTTTTGAAAACCAAGAGTTCTAAATTACTAATATGGCTCAACTCAACAACACGAAAACGTGAAATGAGAAATAAAATATTACTACATATATTATTACAAACATTCATACCGTTGTTAGTTTTTTGGAGGATCTTATGTGGGCCTATACACTGAAACAATGTCATTCACGTGTTCCCTTCCTACTCATCCTTGATGATTGCCCCCATTTTTTTTTTAGTCGTGGTTAATTTCACATTTACATTTTATTTTGAAAAAAAGCAAAAAACAGTAAAAAAAAATGTTGGGAAATCATTTTACATTTCTTTGAAGTTTTGGTATTTTGAATTATTTATTTTTGTACATTTTTTACCCTTGCCACATTTGCTTTTTGATTATACAATTGACAAATAATTACTTTTTAGTCAGTAACATATTTTTGATATATACTGAAAATATCATAAACTTGTAAAACTGAAAATTTCACCTATATACCGGGTGTCCCAGTAATAGCAACGAGGTACGTTAGTGGGAAACGGAAGTTCCCAAAAAAAAGTAAATCGGTCAATAGAAAATGCTGGAAATTATTTTTTCCGTTATGAAATGGCCGCCAGAGGGCGTAGTTGCCATCTTGAATTTTTAAACCCGCTTTTTGCAAAATTTAATAATTCCAAAATGGCTTAATCGATTTTAATAAACTTGGAGTAGTCGAAAAGGGCTTTTCCTAGACTATCAAACGTGCTGCCACCAGATGGCGTCTTCTGACATATTGGCAAAAAATATAATTTTCTGAAAAAAAGTTAAATGGAATGACATGAATTTTTTACGTCATTAGGAGCCGAACAACTCAATCCTAATCTAACGCAACGTTTATAAATCCAAACTTATGGAAACTAAACATTTATAACGATAAAACGCAACAAAATTGAATCAAAGAAAAATGGTCCTATGAGGATTCATTAGTGAGCAATAACGCATATTATGCAAACTGACTCCTCCATTGCTCGAAAAAGTAGCTTCCTCGGTCCATAAATATTCGAGATATTGGGATCCTCCCCAGGTCAAAGTGACCTCATTTTCGAGTCATAAGTGGTCGTTAGTGGTCCGAAAAACACTTCAAATTGACGTCAAAAAAGGATGTCTTATTAGCATCACAAAAATGACATTAGAATGTCGTCATAAAATGACTTGATTCATTCCAGATATATACATTAAACTTAATAATTAATTTAAACTTTTATCCAATTCTATTTAAAACCATGACGTAGGACAATATACCTAGAGGGTGTCCAAATAGTGTGTCAAAGTAATATATCTCGTTTATTATTATTTTTTTAGAAACATTTTAAAAATACAACTGTTATGTCGATTAGTATGTGTTTTTTTTGGATTTATGGCCATTTTTTCGTCAAAAATGGCCTGTGTTTAATACCTTATATTTTTGGCGCCGTTTCTATCAGCTGTAAATTTATTATGCCAACAATTTTACACAGTGGCATAGTCATTTATCCTATACTTGTCTTGAAGTTAGTTCAAATCGTTTAATAGGATGAGTAAAAATGAAAAGTATTAATTATCGTGATAAAATCAAATAGAAAACCCCGTAAATTTTAATTCCATTATTAAAGTTTTTAAAATAAAGGCTCATCTTTATTCATTAACTATAATTCTCCATTTTCGGCTAACGGAAAAAGACGTTCTATGTAATTTAGTTTACTTAGTTTAATTTACTTTCGATATTCCCCACTCCAAAAATAAAAGAACCAATTTCATTATATTTTTGCCAAATTACGATGCTAATTGACGCAACACAACATTTAAGTGACAACACGTCACTTAAATGACATCATTCTTTTGAGACATTAATAGGTCAAATTCAGAACGAATCTCTGCTACCTGGGTCATCTATCACAGCACTGAACCAATTATAGTAGTCTAATCTCCTATCAAAATCAGTTTTTAAAAGAGCCTGATGTATTTCAATATGATGGATTTTAGAATTCGTTGTACCTATAATTTAATGATATTTAAGTCCAAACTTATTCTTTTTAAGCTTAAATGGGGATTAAGGTGGACATATGCTAGAACATTAATGACGTTTTCTTCGTTCCGGATTAGGATTAGGATGAACTTATCCTGTTTCTCGCAAACATTTACTTAAACGACTAAATACTATTCTACTAAAATGTCGTATACTAACTCAGCCATTAGGGAAACACCAGTCGTATGCTTCGACAGTTGAATAAGACATTTTTAATGCTACAATGACAGTAAGAAAACAAACTTTAGAAAAAATTGAACTTTGACTATTAAAAATAGTAGATAATTAAGAGATTTTGATAGCATCAAATGACGACATGAAATGGAAACTTTTGTGAAGACTCTTTCCATCTAAAACCAAAACTATGCAGACGCTACGTTCGTGATAATTTTGGTCTCATAGTCAAGACTTCCTGCGTCATTTAAACTATATACCTACGTTTTACCATTGAAGTAGAAACTAATAACAATCTCTGTTTGGGTCATGCAGTTTATAGAAAACCTACGTACATAGACCGATACCTTAATGCATTGTCACATCACCATCCGGCCCGAAAATAACAAAGGAATAATCTAATCACTTGATTGATTATTAAAGGGGAAAATCGTCAACCGCTCATCGGCTATCGGAGCTACACTCAACTCGACTTCTCTCGGGTTTCGGGTCTTCCCCCGAGCCGCATTACGTTCAACTCGGAAAGATACCTAAGTGGGTTCCCATGGGTCTATAATAATCAGAATGACAGAATTATAACTGTTTAGTCTAGATCGATAAATAATAGGATTCAAAAATAAACAATTTAAACACCCAAAACGATCTATGGGAAAATATCGACCATTTAAAGCTAAGGGCGCCGACATACATTTCGCCACAACCTTACCAAGAAACTGAGTCGAAAAGCAACTTCGCACTTGCCACTGTGGCCCTTCTTTACATTCAGAACATTATTGACCACATATCAAAAGTTCTTAAGAAAAGTAATGTTAAAAATCTCTAAACAACTTCGATCCATCACAGACAGATTCGATTTGAGATACCAGGTGTTTACAGCATTCCGTGCATACGCTGCAAAGAATATATTGGAGAGGGTTTTAAGGCTATGAAAACATAAACTCATCAGCAATTGTAGAACCGGACATCAAATCTTATTCGACTAAAATTCTTGCATTTAAATTCTTATACAAAAAAATCTGAGCATGAAAATCATTAAACAAGTTCGGTTCGTCATCAACCGAAGTAGAAGGAGTCCAGAAGAATTGGAAATAGTCATCCTAAAGGTCATAGCTTTAAGGGCCGATCAGCCGACCATTTTGCTCTACAAGTTGGTAAAAACTGAACGTATAACTTTTGATTGTTGAATTGGGCTCTATGCTTTTTTGGCGCCCTATACGCTATATATGAATACAATCCGCTTCTATAATATTCGGCCATATTATATTGAGATTGTGAAATATCATCCATTTAATACACCTAATTAAAGATGGGGATATACGGTATGGTCTGTTCATGGATATAAGAAAGTGACCAATTGCTTTTGAATGGGATTATCCAAGGCTGGTCATTAACATACAATGCAACAAGATTATTACCTAAAGTTTCCAAATTTAAATTCAGGTAAAATTGTGGTCCCTAATAGAAAATAATTTTATATCTACCTGTGTTTAATATTCTTTGGTTTGGTATACTACCTAGTTTAAGTTTATTAGTAATCACTGTTATTTCGTGTGTAATACAGCGAGTGTTGAATCGTGTGCGAATTATGCAAAATATGTGCGAGTCTA